AAGAAGCTATATATATAAAAAAACAGATACAAATAGGTGTTTTGCGAAATTGAGAGCAATTTCAAATCTGTTCAGTTTTTTTTGATACACCCTGTATATATATATATATATATATATACGAGTAGGTTTGTGTATACGAAACGCAAAGAGTGCTCAATATCATAAAGATAGAATGTAGAATTTCGCTTACCTCAAAATTCCGCAACAGTCTGTTTCATCAGTAAAGAATCATCAGACAGTATGATTCTTTACTGATGAAACAGACTGTTGCGGAATTTTGAGGTAAGCGAAATTCTATCTATATATATATATATATATATATATATATATATATATATATATATATATATATATATATATATATATATATTTATATATATATATATATATATATAAGGCTACAAAAGGTACCTCTCTTATGACATAAGATCGCGTATATCGTATCTTATAATTATGTCGTCATTTCGTGTCTGATGTACTATTTAAAAAACGAGCGGGAGTGTTTTATTAGGTTTAAAGCCACGAGCGCGCAGCGCGAGTGGCTTTAGACCTAATAAAACATGACCCGCGAGTTTTTTTAAATGACTTCAAAAACGTATGCATAATAAGTCAAATCTTTATATAAAAATCTTTATATAAAAATCTTTATATAAAAATCTTTATATAAAAATCTTTATATAAAAACCTTTATATAGTTTGCATAACAATGGTCTTTTGTTAAAGTGTTAGTTCTTTAGCTGGTATAAAGACGTATGCACATGACTAATTTCTTACTCAAGATTGGATAATTGCTTCATGAATTATTAATGAGTTTTTGAAATATAGATCATCAATCGTGATCGAAGTAAGACACTGTATTTGAGTAATTTCTGTTTACAAGCAAATTTTCCTCACCTGTGGCATTTTCCTTGTGTACGGCATGCGCCGGACAGATTAGACAGTTGCTGTATGCCATCCATCTCATTTCCATGGCAACACTCAGAGGAAATTTCTTGTCGTTGTAGTAGTTTTGAGTTATGACAATGGCGGCTTGCATGGCCTCGACTTGACGAGAAAATGTGTCTGGATGAGCATTAAAAGCAAACTCCATGTCCAGAACGGGCATAACTTCAATAAAACTCTGGTAATGAATGGCTTTGTTCATGGGCTCAAATCGTGTTGTTGCATTGAACGTCTGCACCATTTCAAATCCCGCCTTCAGAAAGGATGGTATTAGGAACTGTTTTTTTTTTAGATGCGGGGCAACGCTTCTCCCAAATGCGGTGGAGATTAAATCCTGCACTTTCTTTATATCATACTCTACTTGGTTCGGGGTAGGTTCATTCGGGATGTCCGCAATATTTATCTTCCTAACCCACAGATTGTCGTGTTTTGGTTCCCAACGTACTAGTCCTGAAAAAAATTTTTCATTTTTATAGATTGTATATTGCGCGCTAATTGCGACGAGTGTCGAAGTTATTAAAAGCAGTCTTCGACAAAGCAATGCTAGTTTCAAGTTATAACGCAATCGATATTCTGATACTATAAAACACTGATACAGGGGTGGCGTCATGGAGGTGCTAGAAGGGCTACAGTCCCCTGTCGGTGGAGTCTAGCCTTCCCCCGTCGGGAAATTTTGTGTTTCGTTTGGGAATAAACTCCGTTTAATCCAACCTTTTTACCCAAGACCAAAGATTTCCTTGGTGGAGCATATCCCCGAACCCTCTAGCCTTTTTATGGAAAAATAAATAATTTATTCCGTGTAAAAATTTAGCGCCTTTGTTGGAGGCGTTAGTCCCTGTCGGGGAATTTCTAGCGCCCCCGCCCCTGCATTGATAGCGCCTTGGTCGTAATCAGCCTTCCTTACGAATGTTATATAACGTCGAATCCAGAAATTCCACACTCTATAAACCATACTACGTTTAGCGGTGATTGCCGGCTTTACGTTCCTGTCACCCAGTTGTGCTTTGCGGCTTAAATCGTATTTGGCGTCTAAATTTTTAATACAAAAACACTAGAACAAAGTAAAAGAAGAAGGTGGAGAAGTGCACGCAAGAAATTTTAAGATGGATTGTGTTCTTGCGATATTTTTCACTTTGTACTATTTAACTTCATTGCTTTTGCGCTAATTGTTCTTTAAACTAGACCTCAGTTGTTTTAGAAAACTCACCTGGACATTTCAAGACGAACAAGGCGATCAACTGCAACCAGCTCAAACTGTTAAAAGGAAACCAAAAGATTTCGAGAGACCAGTTATTTTCATGAAGCTGTTTCAGTGCGGCAGGATTGTAAAACAGGTCTCCAACAGTACAGCTGAAATCGTTCTCCACTTTCACAATGACCATTGGTTGAACCTCCATAGTAATGCTAGTCATCACACCAAATAAACCCATATTGCACTAAAAAGAAATTGATATCCTTACTGTGGAAGTGTGTTCTAATTATTCGTAAATAATCCTTTATCACAGCCTGCCAGCATGCCTTCTCAGGAACTCGAGGCATCTTTCTCCAGTTACTACAAACATTGCGACAAAAATCTTCAAAATGCCACTATATAAATAGCTGATTTGATGGGAAAAAATGGTCTGGTTCAGGACATGCAAGCCTAATTTATTTTGGGCCGTTACTACTTGGGTATTTAGGAAAAAAACATGAAATTTAGGATTCCGTATTACCTTTAAGGCATTATCGTTGTCTTGATCACTTGATGGAAATCTGTAATCGACTTCAACTCCATTCGCTCCCACAATACTCATTCCTTTCACGTAATCTGACACAGCCAACTGATCTTTGCCCACGCCCTGAAATCAACGAAACGTTCAAGCACTTACTCAGGAGGTTTCTCTCAGTGAACGTTTATAAATGGTCCGGGAAAATATTTAAAGCGCGCTTGTTCACTTCTAGAGAGACGTTTCTATCCTTTTTGTATCTGCGAATGCAGATATATTGCTATCGTGCGCGTACCGGAAGTTTGTAAGCGTGCTCGCAGCCAATCAGCGACAGCGTTTAGATGAAAATCAGGTAATTATAATAATTTCAAGATGGCGGTTTACTGAAGGGTGAAATTATAAATTACAAAATATACAATTAAAATTAAAAATAAGACGCAGTCAAAACTACGACATTGTACTATTCTGAATATGGCAAAGGGTGTCTTTGGCAAGCATTTGAAGGGTTTCTTCATTTAATACGCAGTACAAAATGAAATGATAGCGATTTTAGACAAAAATTTGCTATTAAATTTATATACCTATGACGACCTCACAAACTTGTAGCATTAACTTAGCATCGTGTGAAAATAAAGGCTATCTATAAATCAATGTAATTGGAGTCCGGAAACAAGGTAAATTTTTATAAGGTGAACTTGAATAAATTAGATTCTTGCACTTCACTTGGTCGAATTGATATTAGAATGTTAGGGTTTGTAATCCAAGAAAATATATATACATTTTAAGACCTAACCAGGAACGACTGAGAAAAATGCAGCACAAGGTCCTCTGGTAGGAATTGAACCTACGGCCCTGCGATTCCAATGCAGCGTTCTAATCAACTGAGCTACAGAGGCCAGCTGTTGAGCTGTAACTGTAAGTTCATGTATGTATAGTAATTGGGTGTGCGGATTGTGATAAGGTACGCGTGGACTTGAATGACTTAGATTCTTGCACTTCACTTGGTGGAATTAATATTAGAATGTTAGGGTTTGTAATCCGAGTGAGAATTTATATACATTTTAAGACCTAACCAGGAACGACTGCGAAAAATGCAGCACAAGGTCCTCTGGTAGGAATTGAACCTAGGGCCCTGCGATACCAGTGCAGCGCTCTAACTAACTGAGCTACAGAGGCCAGAGCTGTTGAGCTGTAACCGTAAGTTCATGTATATATAGGTAATTGGGTGTGTCAAAACTGTTTTGATTAAATTGGCCAAGTAGTTTATCTAATTTTTCTGTAAAAGCCGCTGTTTTTTAATGCGGATGTCTATAAATGCAACCAATTATATATCTTTTTTTATTAGGACCTGCATCAATTTCGATCCAGCACGATTCGACTTGTTCACAATTTATCACGTTATCAGGCCTAATTATGGTTTTCAAATTATTTGCTATATAAATTCCAACTCCTCCAGCAGATGTTGGCGAGTTAACATTAAAAAAGTTATATCCCGTTATATCTACATTACACGCTGTATTATCATTGAGTCTAGTTTCTGTCACAGCAATTATGTCAGGTTTTCTTTTAAATGAAGCCAATATGTCATGCAGTAATTCTAAATTTTTCGGTAGGCTCCTAACATTAAAGTGCATTACCGCTAGTGAATTTGTCCCAGCGTTATTCAATAAACTATTTGTTTCTTCACATGTATAATAACTAGATACTACTTGATCTAGCATAAAATCTGAATCAATCTCATCAAACTTATTCGGGTTCGTCATTAACCGATTCAGATCAACATCAGAATCCAAACAATCCGCCATTATAAAACTTCACACAACAACACTCATGCACGCAGTTACTGCTTCATTGATTCTAACAAATTCCGAAATCGTTTCAAACTTTGTAAAACCCCCAAATATCCTAAAATTTCCTTTTAAGATAAAAAAAAACGACCCAAAACATCGTTTAGAATCCGCTGAAAGTTTCGAAAAAAAAACTCCCAAAACGCTGAATATTCTATATTGCTATAGGATCTGAAATCCCAACTTCAGAGTATAACTCCAGAGTAATACCAAATATATACCTATAGATTCATGATGTTTTAACCATTAACTACAATGCGCCCTACTCTATACTTATTTTACTCTGCCCAACACTACTACATCAGACGATTTTACAGAAGGGGAGAGTCTTTCACATTAATGGGTTAACCAAACTATTTGCCAAATGTTCCTTGTTAACCTATTACGCTGCAATGCGCACAAATTCACTTCTCACAAATTTTCCCGCTTGGCGCCACCATGGTCGGCATGCAAGTCCTTTCGTTAATATTCCCTGGAGACATGGTCAGGCGGATATAGCATAACGTTTTGTTTTCGCGGTTCTTGTATATTTTTTTTAAAAAAGTTTTAATATATCGAGCCACATTACAAGTGTATGTACCACAGAATACCACACAAATTTACATGTTCCATATCTTTTGCCAAATGCATATAACATAGATCGGAAGAG